GCCCAGGATTCAGAGCGGAGCTCCACCCAGCCTCCCAGAGGCAGCGCATCTGAGCATTGGCCCCTGAGCCCTTGGCTGGGACCTGAGTGACCGCCACGGCCCCAGCAGGAGCCCTGGAGCCCGGGCAGGGGGGGGGGGCGGGCAGGACTGCCCCCCTCACCCCGGGCCCCGGCTCCTGCAGGTCCCAGGAGGCCCTGGCCGACTTCCAGCAGGCCCTGGCCCAGCTGCGGGGGAATGCGGCCATCGACTACACACAGCTGGGCCTGCGCTTCAAGCTGCAGGCCTGGGAGGTGAGCGGGCCGGCCGGGCCTCCGGGCGCTGTCCATGGGCGGCGGTCACCCCGTAGGCCCCACTGTCACTGTCACAGGGGCTGTGTGCACCGAGGCTCCCTCTGGCCAGGGTGCCCCAGGCCCTGCTGGTCACTCTGCTACCCCGAGGAGGCTGGGGCCCCTTGCACCCCAGCATGCCCAGAAACACGGGGTCTCGGAGCCTCCGGGGGTCGTGGGAAAGGCCTGTCGGGTGCGGGCCCACAGCCCACCTGTGTCCCGGCCTGGGGCTCTGAACGGTGCAGGCGGCTCCCAGCAGGCTCTGGTGGGGAACCCAGGGTGGCAGCGGCAGGAGCCACCCAATCCCACGTGTCCGTCAAAAGTCCTTTCCCATGGGGCAAGGGGACAGGGCCGAGCAGGCAGCACCCCAGACCCGAGGGTGCAGTGCAGGGAGGAAGGGGCCATGAGGGGCCCTGCTGGGCACACAAGGGGGGGCGAGGAGACAGGCTGGACGCCCCAGGGACGGGAGGCGGGTCGGAGCCTGGACCTCCGTGGTGGGTCCGGACCAGGCACCCGGAGGCCCTGGCGCTGAGGCCGGGAGGGAGGCGGCTGGACCAGGGGGTCCCTCCGGGGACGGGCCTGGAGCAGGACCAGGGCTTGGCCAGAGCCCCAAAGGGCTGACCCCGGGTGGGACGGGGCAGGTCCTGGCTATGCCCACCGTCCGCCGGCTCCCAGGTGCTGTTCAATGTGGCGGCCGCGCAGTGCGCCCTGGGGCTCTGGGCCGAGGCCGCCCGCAGCCTGGAGGACGCCACCAACCAGGCGCCGGACGGGGCCCACGGCGACCTGAGCGTGGCCCTGGCTCACGTGCAGGTGAGGGGTCGGGTGAGGGGGCCGGCCCCCTCGGGCTCCCGAACGGACCCAGACCGGCTTCCGGGCTCAGAGTGCGGCTCGGGGCTCCCACCTGTGCAGACGCCCCAGGACCAGCCTGGGAGAGGAGGGAGGCGGCTGGTGCGGGGGGCTGGGCCGGGCGCTGTGGCCTGTGGGGGCTCCCCAGGCGCCCACTCAGGCACATGCCTGCTCCCCCAGAATCAGGCTCCCCTGCAGCCCCGGCCTGTCCCCCGGGGCGAGGTCTTCCGGCCGCCCCGGAGGCACCTGGAGCGCCTGGAGCATGTGGACTTCCTGGGCAAGGCCAAGGTCAGTGCTCCCTGCTTCCCGCCCATCTCCTGGGCCAGCTTGGCCGGGGGTGTGTGTGTGTGTGTGTGTGTGTCTCTCACAGGGTCTCCTGGGCCAGCACAGCCCGGGGGAGGTGGGGGGAGGGAGTCTGCCTGCCAGTGGATTCCAGAGAAGCAGGGTGTTGGAAAGTTGTCCTGGGAACAGCCTGCAGTGACCAGCACAGGCGTGTCTCCTCGCCGGCCTGGAGGCCTGGAGGCCTGGAGGCCTGGAGGCCTGGAGGCCGAGGACAGGGCAGCCCCGCCCGCAGGAGGAGACTTGGGGATGGGCAGGCAGCAGGGGCTGGGGAGCGCACATCACAGGCCCGGGTGCGGCTGGCGCCCTGACCCGGTGCCCCTCCCTCCCTCCCCAGGTGGTGGTGGCCTCTCCTGCGCTCGAGGCCCGGAACCAGGGCGTCTGGCCTCAGCGGCCCCAGGTGGGTGGGCGCCTCCTCAGCCGCCGCCTCGGGGTTTGGGGTCAGAGGGCTGCGGGTCTCTCCTCGGGGAAGGGAGATGCCACCGGCTCTGAGCCCTCCCCTGGCCCCCAACTTCCCTCCGGCGCGAAGGTGGGGGTGGCCGTCCCCTCCTGTGCCACAGGCTGTGGCTCCCAGTCCTGCGGGGGAGCCTGCCAGTCGCCCGCCCTGGCGCTCCCCCGAGTCTGCACCAAGCTGGATGCCACCTGTGCCCACAGGTCCGGGGTGAGGATGGCGGAGCCGGGCCCCCGGCTGGCCCCAGGTAGGAGGGGCGTCTCCCCCGAGCGCTCCGCTCCTGTCCCGGCAGGAGCGCCGGGCGCCGGCGTGGCCACTCCGTCCTGTCCTCCCACGTGGGACCTGGCTGGAGCCCCAGGGCCGGGCGCCCAGTCTCCCACTGCCTCCTACAGCCCCCACAGCCCTCACCGCACCCACTGCCCCCCACGGCTCCTCACCGCCTCCCCCCGCCCCCCATGGCCCCATGGCCCCTCCCCCGCCCCCATGGCCCCTCCCCCCGCCCCCATGGCCCCGCCCCGGCCCCGCCCCCCACGCCCCCACGGCTCCTCACGCCCTGTGTCCCGCATGCCAAAGGCCCAAGTTCCTGGCGCCTGAGCCCGTCCTGCCCCCATGGGACCCCCTTTGGGGCCTCGAGGGGCTCCGGACCACGTGGAGGGTCAGAGTGAGGCTCCGGGACGGGGCGCAGGCTGGGCTGTGGTCAGCAGCCCCCCCCACCCCCACCCCAGGCCTCGGAGAGAGGGCCATCCGGGTGCTCACGGTGCACAGGGGGTGGGTCCACACTGCTCCTCTCTCCTCGGTGCCTGGGGCCCCCAGAGCCCTGGACCGAGGGGGTGGGGGGGGGCTGCGTCAGGGAGAAGTGAGCGCTGAGACTGGGGTCCCCTTCCCCCCAGGGCCCTCCACACAGGCGCCTGCGGAGCAGACACCCCCTCGGGCCCCAGGACGCCCCCCTGTGCAGACCTGGAGGCCGGGTCTGAGCAGGCCGGGCGGGCGGGCCCCTGTGCCCCCAGCCCCTGTGAGGAGCGGGTGAGTGAGCCTGAGGGCCCCCCAGGCTGAGCGGGGGGACGGCGGCCGGTGCTCCCCATGCTCAGGGCCGGGCGGTCCCGGGGCCCGGCCTGCTGTGGGTCTCCCGACCTCCCTCAGCCCCAGCACCCGCCTCCTTCCTGGCACGGCGCCCGGTGTGGGTGAGGCTGAGGAGGGAGCGGGGCTTCAGGGCAGGGGGCTGAGTGCCCTCGGGCAGCACCGGGGCGGGATCCTGCCGCACAGAGAAGCTGCTCAGCTTCATTCGGTTCATCCAGGGCCCTCCATTCCCTGCCAGTCCCACAGCCCTGCCCCCACCCCCAGTCCCCACCTCACCCTGGAGGTCCCTCCCCGGCCCCTCCCCTGGCCCCCACCCCCAGTCCCCACCCCACCCTGGAGGGCCCTCCCCGGCCCCTCCCCTGCCCCCACCCCCAGTCCCCACCCCACCCTGGAGGTCCCTCCCCGGCCCCCTCCCCTGGCCCAGCAGAGCCTGCCTTCCCTTGCAGCGGCCCTGCGCGGACCATCCTGGCGGGCAGGTTCCTGTAGGTAAGGTGTCCGGGGCCGGGCGCTCTGTGGAGGGGCAGCACGGGGGCTGGGAGCGGCCTCTGTGACCCCCGGAGAGGAAGCTGGTGCCCCCGCTGCCCTGGTGCTCTGGGAGCTCCCCCCAGAGGGCCCCCTCCGGCGCCTGAGTCCGGCTCTGCCCCCTCCCAGGGCTGCTGGCGGCTGGGGGCCCGGACCCCGGACCTCCCGAGGACCCCACAGGAGCCGGGGTAAGAGGTCCCTGAGCCCAGGCCCCGTCCCCCTGAATGGCCTGGGGACCGCGGCTGGGAAGCCTCCAGCCCCGCCCCAGCCCCGCCCCCAGCCCCGCCCCCAGCCCGGACCTCACCCACCGGCCTTTCTGCCCCACCCCAGGGCGTGGCTGCCGGGGACCCTGAGCCCTGGGTGACCGTCACGGTGCAGTGCGCCTTCACCCTGACCCTGCAGGCCCCCCGCGGAGCAGACCTGCCCCACCTGCGGGCCCTGCTGAGCCAGGCCCTCCCGCGCCAGGCCCAGTGCGGGCAGCTCAGGTGACCGGGGAGGGCCGGGGGGGGCAAGGGTGGACCTGGGGGGCCTGGGGGGGCCCAGCTGGAGGAGGCTGGCCCGTCAGAGGCCTCCCCTCGGCCTCCCCTCGCAGCCGGCGCCCTCACTGCCGCTCTGACGCTCGGCGGGTCTCCCTCAGCTACCAGGAGCCGGGGGCCGGCGGGCGCTGGGTCCCCCTCCGGGCGGAGGGGCTGCGGGGGGCCCGGCCGGAGGCGGCGTCGGGGCCGGCAGGGCTGCGGCTGCAGTGCCGGGTGAGCTGGGCCGGTGAGCTGGGCGGGGTCGGCTGGGGGGGCCTGGCTGGGAGGCTCCGAGGGGGCGGCCCGGACCCCGGTGCCCGGCCTGAGTGTCCCCCCACCGCCCGCAGGCAGCGGGCGGCCGGCCCATCCTCTACCAGGTGGTGGCCCGGCACAGCTACTCCGCCCAGGGGCCCGCGGACCTGGGCCTGCGGCCGGGCGACACGGTGGACGTGCTGTGCGAGGGTAGGCGCCAGGGGCCCCCCCCCACGCGGGCGCCGGGTCCGAGGGGACGTGGCTCACGTGGTTCCTTGCAGTGGACCAGGCCTGGCTGGAGGGCCACTGCGACGGCCGTGTCGGCATCTTCCCCAAGAGCTTCGTGGTCCCCGCGGGCCCGCGCTGAGGAGCCGCCCCTCCCCGCCCGCCCCGGCCTCTCCTTCCGGCCCCCCCCCGCCCCCCTCCAGAGCCCACAGAGCAGCCTGGAGAAGTCCGTGGCCAGAGGGAGGGTTTAATAAAAGCGATGCTCCCGCCAAGGTGTGACGTGTTTTGTGGGCGCGGGCGGTAACGGGCTCCAGGCTGGGCCTCCCCTGCCCCCTCCCTCCAAGCTCCACTGACTCCGGGCCCCCAGCCCCCCACCTGCCCCTGCCAGGGAGTCAGGGCCCTCGGCTGGCCTGGCCCACTGCCCTCCGACGCTGCAGCCGCAGCCGGGGGGGTCGGCGGGGGGGCACTGCGGGGAGGAGCGGGGCCCGGGCCGGGCCCGGGGCTGTGGGGGCCGGGCCTCTGGCTCCAGGGCCGTGCTCAGTCCCGGCGCCAGAGGAGCTGGGCCACGGCCACGGCGAGCACGGCCGCGAGGGTCAGGGCCACCAGGACGACGCCGGCCACCCAGACGGCCTGGCTCTGGGCGCGGCCCGGGGCGGGCGCCTCGGCCGGGACCATGTTGGTCAGGTTCAGCATGTAGCCCAGCGTCCAGCCGATGTCGGCGCCCCCGGCCTGCGGGAGGGGGACACGGCGGGCGGTCAGGGCCGGGCCCCACCCCTCCAGCCGCCCCCCGGCCCGGGGCAGCCACCTGCTTGCGGAAGGCGATGCTGGGCCAGGTCTCCTCGCTGAAGCCGTAGCCCTCCAGCAGGAGCGTGAGCAGGTAGAGGCCGGAGGCACAGTAGTCCCGCAGCCACGGCTGCTGCCCGGGCCAGGACGCCTCCACCTGGGCCGGACGGGGAGCCGGTGAGGCCGCACCGGCCCGAGCAACGGGGTGTCCTCCCTCCATGGCTCCCCCAAACCCCGGGCCACCCTGTCCTGTCCGCGTGGGTCCCTGCGTCCCCGCCCAGCGAGGCCGCCCCGGCCCACCCACCTGCTTCCAGGGCTTCTGGCAGAACTCCCAGACGGTGGCGTTGACCTTGGCCAGCGGCTGCCCGGCCGTGAGGTTCAGGAAGTGGAAGGTGTAGTAGAAGTTAGAGAAGGCCTGGGGGTGGCGAGGAGATGGGGTGTCTGCGATGGGGCGGCACCGGGCAAGGTGGTGCCCCCGACCCCACACCCGGCCCAGGGAGCCGGCCCGCCCACCCGCCCAGGTCTCCGCCGGGCCCGCCCACCCGGCCCGGGGCTCCGAGGGGCCCGCCCACCCGCCCGGGGCTCCCCTGGGCCCGCCCACCCGCCCAGGGAGCCGGCCAGCCCACCCGCCCGGGGCTCCGCCGGGCCCGCCCACCCGCCCGGGGCTCCGCCGGGCCCGCCCACCCGCCCGGGGCTCCGCCGGGCCCGCCCACCCGCCCCGGGGCTCCGCCGGGCCCGCCCACCCACCCGGGGCTCCGCCGGGCCCGCCCACCCGCCCGGGGCTCCGCCGGGCCCGCCCGGCCCGGGGCCGGGGCCGGGACCCTCGCTCACATAGAACTGGCCCCGCACCGGGGGCTGGTAGACCCCGTTGAAGGCGCAGTCCTGGCGGCCGCGGCAGCTGGAGAAGTTGAAGAGCTCCCGGATGGCGGAGACGCAGGCCCCGGGGTTCCCGGTCCCCTCCACCGGCAGGCTCGGGGGGAAGTCCGGGCGGGGCGCGGCCTGGACACACGGCGACTCGTACAGGGGGGCCAGGGACAGCGTGTCCACGTAGCCGCCGTGGTAGCACGGGTGCCGGACAAGGGGAGCCGTGCTGCTCTGCGGGGGCGAGGGCGGCAGTGAGCACCGGCCTGGGGCAGGGCACCCCATCGGCGGCCCCCCCCACCCCGAAGCCCACCTGCACCAGCCTGGCCAGCAGCCTGGTCAGCGCCTGGTCGCGCCCGTAGCAGAGGTAGCTGTGGGTGTAGACGCGGTGCTCGAAGCCGTAGAGCCGGAAGGAGGCCTGGGTGCTCTGGTCCCGGATGGGGCCTTCGGGCACAAAGGTGATCTGGGTGGAGGCCCCGCCCATGTCCAGGGCGCCCACCAGCGTCCCCTCGGGAGGCCGGATCCACTCTCCGGAGAAGGAGTACTAGGCAGAGACGGCACCAGCTTCAGGACCGGCCGTGCGGGCGGCCCGGCTCCTCCCGCCCCGCAGGCCGCCCGGGCACCTTGACCAGCAGGCCCAGCACGTAGTTGATGGTGATCCAGCCCAAGGCGCCCTCGTCCTGCCCGGCCAGGAGCTCGGCGCCCCAGAAGGCCACGGGAGCTAGGCCCAGGACGTCCGAGACCGCTGCAAAGATGTGCCCGGCCTGGGAGCTGTTCTTCTGGCTGCGCAGAGCGGACAGGCGGGCGGACGGACGGGCGGAGCTGGCGGGAGGCCTGCCCGCCCGTCCCCCACCTGTCCCCACCCGTCCCCCGCCCGTTCCCCCCCCCCCCGCCGGGGGCGCTGAGGCCTCGGCTAGCGGCCCCCGGGCCCTCCTCACCTGAGCAGCCGCATGCCGGCCGTGGCGCCCAGGAACAGGGGCGTCTGCTGCTGCTGGGCCTCAGGGACGGCGGCCAGCGCCTCCTGCAGGCAGCCCCGCAGGCTCTCGCCGGCCTGCGCGGGGTCGGAGGCGTAGGAGGAGATGCCGGGCCCTGAAACAGCAGCCCAGGACCAGGCTCCAGGCCCCGAAGGCTGGCTGGGTGGACAGTGGTCCCCAGAAGGTGTGTCCACCTTCTCACCCTGCCAGGCCTCCCACGTGGCCTCGCTGGGAAAGGTTAAGTGGGGGAGGTCACCCCGAGGACCCCCTCCGGGGCAGGTCCTTGTGCAGGAGGGGAGGGGCCTGCAGGCAGAGGCTGCGGGCCGGGCCACAGGGCAGGCACCCAGGAACCCCCGAGGCTGGAGAGGCAGGAGGGCTCAGGCAGGTCCTGTCCAGACCCGAGAGGCAATGCAGGCTCCGGCCCAGCACCCCCAGAGCCGCTGGGCCTCCTGGGCAGCTCACCCCACCTCTCTGAGCCCCTCTCCTTGAGGGTAATCTGCCACTCGCTGGGGACGGGGACCAGCCCATGCCAGCTCCCAGCTGGGGGGCGGGGAGCCCCAACACCGCCCCCTCTGACAGGGCGACCGCTGACCTTTCACCCGGCAGGTCAGGGCTTGGCTGACCACACCGGTGTCGTTCTCCTTGTCCGCCGGCCACCGGTACACGAAGAGGGACGTGTGGGAGGACCCCGCATCAAACACGATCCCAAACTGGGAGTGACACCGGTGTCAGGAGGGTGTGGGGCCGGCACACCCCTGGCCCCGCCCCGCCCCCTCCAGGCGCCCTGGCCCCGCCCCGCCCCGCCCCGCCCCGCCGCACAGGCGCCCCGCCCCGCCCCGCCCCCAGGCGCACCTTGGTGTCCGCGGGCAGCAGGATGCTGGCGACCTGCGCCAGGGCGAGCACCAGCGCCGTGAGGCCTAGGGCTACCGCCACGCCCAGCAGGGCCACGATCACCTTCTCCTTGACCGTCAGCTTCATGCTGAGGGCGGGCTGGGCCTGGGGGGCAGCAGTGGGCAGGCTCCACCCTGGGGTCCTGCCCCCTCGCTGGGCCAGGGGGAGCCCAGGAGCGGCGGGCACTGGGGGTGGGAGCGAGCCCCAGAGGCCGGCCTGGGCTGGGAGCCCACACGCCCTTGTAAGCCCCGCCCGTCCCGCCCCATTGTCCTGGCAGCTGCCCTTCGGACCCCCTCCATGGTCCAGCCTCCTCTGGGGCCCCCCCAGGCCTTCCCCAGGCGGGGTTCCTCCCTGGGCCCTGGGTCAGGCCTACCTGCACCCCGCTGGACGAATGAGGTCACTGGGTCCCGGAAGCGGGTCTCCACTATAGCACCTGAGGGGCAGTTAGCAGAGACCGGGTTTGTGTGGAGCCCAGCCTCTGCGTCTGCAGTCTGCGCTGAAAGGTTTTATTCCGGCCCCTGATGCCCCCGCCCCCCCTGCAGCATCCTGGCTGACCCCGAGGGCAGGGCCCCAGCTGCTGCTCACCAGGGTCACCCAGAGCCTCGAGCCAGCTGGCACCGCTGCCCGGGGGGAACCTGATCTCAGAGTCGGCAGCACTTTGGGGTCCCCGTGATTTTGTATTGTATCATCTATTCCCCCAGGAAGGCAAACACGGCTGGAGCAGGGCCGGGGGGGGGGGGTGGGGTGGGGGGAGAGGAGAGAGGGAGGCTGCCTCTGTCCTGCTCCTGCTGATCCTGACCGACCCTAAAGGGGTGCTGACAGCTGGGGGCTCCCTCCGTCCAGAAGGAGGGAGGATGGAGGCTCAGAGGAGGCAGGTACTGCTTGGGCTGCAGCGAGGGCTGTCCTGGCCACGGCTCAGAGACAAGCAGGTGACAGAACAAAGCCAGGGCCCCAGGACCCCATGCCACACCCCATTTCCCTGGATTCAGCATCTGAGCCCCCGTGGGGGGCTAAGACAATGGGCCAACTCCCCAGAGTCAGGGGAGCCCCCAGGACTGTCAGCACCCTCCTAGGACTGGTAAGCCCACCCCAGACCAGGACAACCTCCCTCAGACCAGGAGAGCCCCCCTCAGGCCAGGAGAGCCCCCCTCAGGCCAGGACAGCCCCCCTCCAGGCCAGGACAGCCCCCCTCCAGGCCTGGCCGGCCCCTCACCTGTGCTGGTGGCCGGCGGCAGCAGGAGGAAGCCGGACTGCTGTCCCTCAGGTACCTGCGTCTTGCTGGGTGCTGCTGGTCCCCTCCCCACCCGTTAGTCACCAGCTGCCCGCACCTGCATATCGGCGGGCAGGAGCCGGAGCACCCCCCCCACCCCCCCCCCCCCGGGCTTGCAGACAGTGGCTGAGGCTCCTGAGGCCAAGTTCAGGCCCCTGACAGTCACTCCCCCTCCACACCCCAGGCTCTCCCCAGCCCAGGTTTTCCCCTCCACTTGCTCCTCTCTGCCCGCCCTGCTCTGGGACCCCGGCAGGTGGGCCCGCCCCTCCAGGGAGGCGGACCTTGCCCTCCGCCCCACCCTCCTCCAACTGGCAGAAGAGCCAGGGCTGGGCTGAGGGCAGGTCAGAGTCAGGTGAGTCAGGTGACTAGAAGGGGAGCCAGGGCTGGGGCGGGAGCAAAGGCCAAGGCGGCCCAGCCCGGTGGGGGGGGGGGCTGAGGGAGGGAGGGGGTGTCCGCTCTCAGAACCGCTTCTGTGCACAGCTGGGGGCCCTGGCCTCCCTCCTGAGCGGACGCCCTCCCCAAGCAACAGCTCCTTCTCCACAGCTCCTCTGGAGGGCAGGCTCAGGGATGGAACGGCACCTGGCTTCTCCCGCTCAGCACCGGTGCTGGTCCCTCCTCTGCGCCCACCTCCGTCCTCCCCGTCCAAGGCGTTCCGGGAGCTTCCACCTTCTGACCCTGAAGTCAGAGGTGAGGGACTTTGGGGCACAGGTCTCCCCGGACCCACCCAGGAGATAGGCCACCGGGGTCCTGAGTCAGGCCACTAGCTGCCCCCCCTTTCCTGGCAGGAGAGCCCGTTCCTGCTCCCTCACAGCGACCTCTTGGTTCTGGGGTCCGCGCTCAACCACTGAGCCACACCGGCCCGGCTCGGTGTAAACTTTGACACCCTCTTCTGCCCGTTTTCCAATTGGATTTTTTAATTGTTTGTAGCTGCTGAGTTGTGTGAATTCTTCATATTTGCTGCCCGTTGGCCCCTTATCAGGCACGTGGTTTGCAATTCTCGTCTCCGTCTTCAAGCTGCCTCTGCTCTGCGACGGCTCCCTGGGCTCCACAGAGACTTTTCATGTGACAGACCTGTCTCTTGTGGCCTTTGTTACTGGTGCTTTTGGTGCAGGGTTTTGGTGTGTTTGTGTGTGTGTGTGTGTGTGTGTGTGTGTTTAATATATTTGTATTGATTTCAGAGGGGAAGGGAGAGGTTGAGAGAGATAGAAACATCAGTGATGAGAAAGAATCATGGATTGGCTACCCTCCACATGCCCCCCACAACCCAGGCATGTGCCCCGACTGGAATCGAATCCGGGACCCTTTCAGTCCGCAGGACAACGCTCTATCCACTGAGCCAAACCAGCCAGGGCTCGGTGCAGGTTTGAAGGAATCAGTGCCAAGCCTAATGTCAAGGAGATTCCCACCTGTGTTCTTCTAGCGGCTGTATGCTCAAGGCTCCCATCCTCTACGTCCATCCTGGGTGTGGTGTAAGGGAGGGTCCAGTTTTCCGACACCGTTGATGGAAGAGATCTTCCTCCCCCATTGCATAATTTTGGCTCCTTTGTCATAAATCAGTTGACCATGTGTACATCCATGGGTTTATTTCTGGGCTCCCTACTCCGTCCCATCGATATGTTTTTCTGTCAATGCCATGCTGTTTTGAGGACTGTAGCTCTGTAGCATAGTTTGAAACCTGGGGGTAAGTTGCCTCCAGCTTTCTTCTCCTTTCTGACGCTTGCTGTAGCTACTTGGGGCCGTTCGTGGTCTCACACATTTTAAGCTTGTTGTTTTGGTTTGCAGATGCTGTATCATCCTGCATCTCTGGAAAAAATCCCATGTGACGGTGATGAGATATCCTCTTAGTGTATTGCCGAGTTCCGTTTGCTGACATTTCGCTGAGGATTTTGGCATCTACAGTCATCAGCGATGTTGTTGTTGTGTGCCATCCTTGTCTGGGTTTGGCATCGGGGTAAGGTCTTGGTATTTTTTTAGGATAGTTTGAGAAGGATTGGTATTAACTTTTCTTTGAATGTTTGGTAGGAGTCACCAGTGAAGCCATCTGGTGCTGGATTCCTGTTTTTTGGGGGGTTTCTGATGGCTGACTCAGCCTCCTTGCTAGTAATTAGTCTGTCCAGCGCTCCTGTTTCATCAGGATGCGTGACACTTAACAGTGGCTGCCAGATTCTGTCCAACGGGACGGCAGCCACTCACAGTGCCTCCCCCACACCCGCCAGCACATATACATCTTCCCCGAATGATACCTTTTCTAGGTTTTATATGATATAAAAGTAACTTAAAGACTACAATTACAGCCCTGACTGGTTTGGCTCAGGGGATAGAGCGTCGGCCTTCGGACTGAAGGGTTCCGGGTTTGAGTCTGCTCGGAGCATGTGCCTGGGTTGCGGGCACATCCCCAGTGGGGGTCGGGGGGTGCAGGAAGCAGCTGATCAATGTTTCTCTCTCATCAATGTTTCTAACTCTCTATCCCTCTCCCTCTCTGTAAAAGAATCAATAAAAGATATTTAAAAACAAAACAAAAACACATGAAAACGTCCTCCCTGTTAAGGACCTGACCTTCTCACGTGCTGTGAATACTTCTTCCCCCACCACCTCTGCCTCACCTCTGCCTCGCTGGTGTCTCAGGCGGGAAGTGGGCAGGCGCCGTCACCTCACTTGTGTACTTTGCTGGACCGAAACCTAACATTGTCACTGGTAATAAATTGTAAAGGGAGCTGGCCAACCACTATGGCTCTGAATGGTCGGAGCTATTAACTCCTTGACTCTAGGTTGAGTCACTAGTGGTAAAATGTAAAAAGAGCTGGCTGACCGAAACCAAACATTGTTCCCTGATAGTAAAATGTAAAAAGAGCTGGCCAACCTCGATGGCTCCCATGGCTCCGAATGGTCAGAGCTATTAGCTCATTGTCTAGTTGAAATAGTGGTAGTTGAGGCAACTTGAATTTGTTGATCATATGTAAATTCTTGATTTTCTGCTGTTGGAATTTCCCGCCTGAGAGATGTCTTTGTCTCAGAATTCCAATAAAAGGAACAGTGAAAGGCCAGAGCAGGAGTAGTCCTCCCACTATAGGTGGACTTCCCGCCTGGCCCCCATTTTCCAAATGAACCCTTTTCCAGTCCCAGTCTCTCTATCTTAGGGTGCAGCCTTCTCCAGAAACCGGACCCCGAGTGGGCCCTGAACCACGCGGGCCGTGTTAAGGATCCCACATACTTTCCCCCAATGCCTCCGTGTTTGCACTGCCTGTCCCTGGGCACCGTCAGTGTTTGCCATCTGTTCCTCCAAGATGCCCCTAGGAGTGGAACTTTGAACCAGGTGGCCACCCTGGAGCCTCCCTCGGGCGGGGCAGGCCCGCCCAGCCCTCAGCCGCCCCGGGTCCCGTCGAGGCCGGGCGAGGCCAGGGGCACATGGCAGAGCTTCCGCTGGCCCGGGGCAGGACGGAGGGCCCTCCGAGCACGTGTGCGGGAGGTGGGCCGGGTGGGAGGCCCCCTGCTTGGGCCTGCAGGGTTTTATCTACCAGCAGAAGTGTCTGAGGGCGCGAGAGTCCCACCAGGTCTCAGGAACCACGTGACTCTGTGGTGCGTGTAGTAAATATGTGCAGAGCATGTAGACAAGCACGTGGTATTGAGTCGAAACCCCTAAGAGTTTACCTATTCAAGTTTGTGACAAAATTTCTACTTCCCGCCCAGCAGGAGTGATGCAGGGCGGTCCCTGAGCAGGTCCTTCACCCTCCGGTCCTGCTGTGCCTCCGGCCCCCGCTGTCCCTCTGGTGCCCGCTGTCCCTCTGGCCCCCGCTGTCCCTCCGGCTGCATCATACTGCCCACTGTGGGTAACCGGCTGGCACCAGCTGTTTGTCCCTCGGGGTGCCCAGTGACAGCGACGGGTGGCAGTGGGCACATCTGGGAAGGAGGAGGCTCAAAGGCCAGCCGGTCCTGTGGTCACTGCCAGGGGTGGGGACAGAAGTGCGAGGGGCAGGCCCCGCTCACATCCGCCCTGCCCTTTCTCAGGGCCCAGGTGGCAGCAGCTCAGGCCCTGCAGCGGGCTCCCCACCCGCCCATGGAACGTGCCCCTGGCGGGTAGGCGTGGGTGGAAGCTGGCAGCCTCGGCCCAGCCAGGTGTGCCGACGGCTCCATTAGCCCAGAAGCTCCGGTGCAGAGAGGACCCGCGGCTGAGGACACGGCAGAGCAGCGGAGGGTCAGCTTTAATGGTCACTCTACGGACATCGGACACGGACAGAGCCCGGCCACCCGCCTGCCCGCAGCCTCGGGCACAGCCAGGTGCCCTCAGACCAGGCTCTGCAAGGGGGACCTGCCCCCGGCGCCCGCTGTATGCACAGAGCCGCCCGCGCGGGGCAGGTGCCAGCCCGCCCACCAGCGCGGCTCCTGGGCCTGGAGGTGGGGTCCGGCCCCCATGCAGCGGGCGGGTCTCACCCGGGGACCCAGCCCTGGATGGACCCCCTCCCCCCGCCCGCCCTCCGGCCTGGACACGCTGGGGACAGGCCGGCAGAGGGCGCACGCGAGCCGACCCGGCGCCCCCATTGCCCGGTGCTGGTGATGGGTTCGCAGGGCGGGCACCCGGGCCGGCGGCACGTCACTGGCTCGAGGGGCCGGAGGAAATGGCACTTGTTCTGCGGCGGCGGCGGCGGCGGACCCTGAGCCGAGGCCGCCGGCGGGGCCCGGGCCGGACCGGGCGCCAGGACGGCGGCGGCGGCCCTGCCCTCACAGCCCGTCCTCGAAGTCCAGCAGCTTCGAGTGCTGGCGGCTCTTCCACAGGCGGTACAGCCGGAAGTCGAAGTAGGTCTCGATCATCTGCTTCCCTGGGGGGACGTGGGCGGGCTCAGGCAGGGCGCGGGGCGGGGCCAGAGCTGAGGGGCGGGACCGGTGAAGGCCGTGGCCGTGGCGGAGGGCGTGGCCAGGGCTGAGGGCCGGCGTCGAAGGGCGTGGCCGTGGCGGAGGGCGTGGCCAGGGCTGAGGGCAGGTGTCGAAGGGCGTGGCCGTGGCGGAGGGCGTGGCCAGGGCTGAGGGCTGGTGTTGAAGGGCGTGGCCGCGGCGGAGGGCGTGGCCAGGGCTGAGGGCTGGTGTTGAAGGGCGTGGCCGCGGCGGAGGGCGTGGCCAGGGCTGAGGGCAGGTGTCGAAGGGCGTGGCCGTGGCGGAGGGCGTGGCCAGGGCTGAGGGGCGGGGCTGGGGCAGAAGGGGCGGGCTCAGGCTGGAATAGGGCGGGCCTGGGGGATGGGGCGCTGCCTCCTGTACCCCATCAGGAGGTGGGAAGCAGCTTGACACTCACCTTGGGCCGACAGCTCCAGGGGGGACTCAAAGATGACCTTGTAAGGGGTCATGAGGGTCCTGAGGTTCTGGAACAGCTGAAAGGAAGGGGCAGGGCCGTGAGTCCAGGCAGAGGAGGGAGGGGGCTTAAGGGCAAGATTGGGGGGGCAGGACCCCTCACAACAGGCTGGGCTGAGGAGCAAGGGGTTTCTCTGGAGGGTTTTTATTTTTATTTTTTTTAATGTTGAGATTTGGTTTTATTTATGCTACTAGCTAAGTAAAAAGCATACATGTTGTGTCTGTGGTACACATTTGCGACTTTTCTACTTCTCTATACAAAGTCACTGCCAATTGATATGATCACTGATGGCATAAGGCTTAGAAAAACCAAAAGGTTCTCTGGAGGCTTTTTAAAAATATATATTTGTATTAACTTCAGAGAAGAAGGGAGAGGGAGAAAGAAACATCAATGATCAGAATCATGGATTGGCTGCCTCTTGCACGCCCCCTACTGGGGATCAAACCCCCCACCGGGCACGTGCCCTTGACCAGAATTGAACCAGGACCCGTCAGTCCCCAGGCCAAGGCTCTATCCACGGAGCCAAGCCGGCGAGGGTTTAAGGGAAGAGGAAAGGGAATCTGAGGAGACACAGGTGGGAGGGCCATTCTGTCAATCTTTTCATGGGTCCGGGCCCCCGAAACCTGGGTGGGGCCTGGGGTCCCTGTACCTTCTCCCCGTTGGGATTCCCCAGAATGTAGCAGCCCATGATGTGGATGACGTTTGGCTCTGGGTTCACTTTGCTCATCAAGCGGCTCAACCGCTTCCAGAAGCTGGTGGGGGAAGGGCGAGTCACAGGTGGCCTCCAGCCCAGGCCCCAGGTGTGCGGAGTGCGGAGGGCGGAGTGCGGAGGGCGGAGGGCACAGGGCGCAGGGCCCAGCCCCCGCCAGCACCCACAAGCCCCTGCCTGTCCCCCAACTCCCTCCCCAGCCCCTGCCAGCCCCCGCCAACCCACCAACTCCCTCCGCAGCCCCCGCCGGCCCCCACCAGACCCCAGCCCCCTCCCCAGCCCCCGCCAGCGCCCACAAGCCCCTGCCAGCCCCCACCAGCCCCCCAACTCCCTCCCCAGCCCCTGCCAGCCCCCACAAGCCCCTGCCTGCCTCCCAACTCCCTCCCTAGCCCCTTCCAGCCCCCACCAGCCCCCCAACTCCCTCTGCAGCCCCCGCCGGCCCCCACCAGACCCCAGCCCCCTCCCCAGCCCCCGCCAGCGCCCACAAGCCCCTGCCAGCCCCCACCAGCCCCCCAACTCCCTCCCCAGCCCCTGCCAGCCCCCACAAGCCCCTGCCTGCCCCCCAACTCCCTCCCCAGCCCCCGCCAGCCCCCACAAGCCCCTGCCTGCCTCCCAACTCCCTCCCTAGCCCCTGCCAGCCCCCACCAGCCCCCCAACTCCCTCTGCAGCCCCCGCCCGCCCCCGGCCTTCCCCCCAGCCCCCACCGGTCCGCCCACTCACTGGATCATGTCCTCCTCCTTCTCCACCTTGGCGAAGGTGGCCACCTTGTTCTTGAGCAGGTACAGGTGCCCCGGGCCGCCCTGTGAGAGACTGGTCAGCCCGGGGGGCTGCACCACGGGTGCCACCCGCTGCTCCCCCAGGACACCCCGGGACGCCGCCCCACCTGGCAGAATATGAGCATCTTCCAGATCTTGGCGCCCTTGTGGTAGATGTTCAGCTTCTTCTCTATCTCCTCTGCGGAGGGAGGGGTGTGAGTGCCGCCCAGTGCTGCCTACGGCCTGGGCACCCCCACCCCCTGCCCGCGCCCCCAAAGACGGGGGAAAGGAGGGCACATACCCAGGATGTCCTCGAAGGTCGCGTGCTCGTGGTCCTAGGACAGACACAGGCCAACCTGAGTCAGAGTCCCCCTCAGGCAGCCTCCCACCGGCCCGGGGCACTCACACCGAGGGGGCGGGCACTCACACCGAGGGGGCGGGCACTCACACCGAGGGGGCGGGCACTCACACCGAGGGGGCGGGCACTCACAGAGGGGGCGGGCACTCACAGAGGGGGCGGGCACTCACAGAGGGGGCGGGCACTGGCACCGAGGGGGCGGGCACTGACACCGAGGGGGCGGGCACTCACACAGAGGGGGCGGGCACTCACAGAGGGGGCGGGGCACTCACACCGAGGGGGCGGGCACTCACAGAGGGGGCGGGCACTCACAGAGGGGGCGGGCACTCACAGAGGGGGCGGGCACTCACACAGAGGGGGCGGGCACTGACACCGAGGGGGCGGGCACTCACACAGAGGGGGCGGGCACTCACAGAGGGGGCGGGGCACTCACATAGAGGGGGCGGGCACTCAGAGGGGGCGGGGCACTCACATAGAGGGGGCGGGCACTCACAGAGGGGGCGGGCACTCACACAGAGGGGGCGGGCACTGACACCGAGGGGGCGGGCACTCACACCGAGGGGGCGGGCACACAGAGGGGGCGGGGCACTCACACAGAGGGGGCGGGCACTCACACAGAGGGGGCGGGCACTCAGAGGGGGCGGGCACTCACATAGAGGATGGGGATGATGGACGGGTCGTCCCTGCGGATGATGGTGGGGATGTACTCCGCTCTGGGCACCTTGGAGGAGATGAGCTGGGGACACAGGAGCCGCTCAGGAAGGCTCGGCCGCCTCGGGGCCGGGGCAGCAGGAGGCCCTGTGGGCCAGCCCCCCCACCCCCCCGCAGCGGAGACGAGGAGACCCCGGGCAGCCCCAGGGGAGCCCCATGCGGCACCCCTCCCCCGCCGGCAGCCAGTCAGCGCCCCGATGGGCGAAGCCGGCGGTCCTCACCATGACCTTGGGCGGCAGGAAGCCCTCCGCCTCGCAGGCCTCCGCCTCCAGGCCCTTCTCGGCCTCCCAGTCCAGGTCCTCGAAGGCCTCGTCCAGGGTGCAGTGCGAGCTCTGCAGGTCGCCGCCTGCGGGGTAGGGCACCGGGCTGCGGCGGGCGGCGGTCCGGCGAGGGGCGGGGCAGAGCTGGCGGGCCGCCCCGGGGTCCCGGGCGGAGGGAGCAGGCGGTGGGGGTGGAGCCGCAGACGGGCCAGGAGGCGAGTGCGGGGGAGGCAGCCACGTGCCCCCGCGGGCGGCCCGCAGAGGCCCAGGTGCCGCCCGCAGGTGCCGCCCGCACCTGCACAGCTGCCGCCGCGAGGTCAGAGGTGCGGGCGCCCTCGGTTACCAGCCGGTAACCCGAGGCTCAGAGCAGAAGCCAGAAGCTTAGCCCCGGAGGGACCGCCCTGCGGAGCGCGGGGCCTGGGGGCCTGGGGCGCCTCTGGAGGGGGCCGGCCTGCGGAGCGCGGGCGGGGGGAGAGGGGCGGGGGGGGGGGCCGGGGTACCGCGGGGCGGGGACGGGGGTACCGCGGGCGGGGGGAGAGGGGCGGGGGGCCGGGGTACCGCGGGGCGGGACGGGGGTACCGCGGGCGGGGGGAGAGGGGCGGGGCGGGGGGCCGGGGTACCGCGGGCGGGGCCGGCCCGCGGGGCACCTACTGTCGCGGGAGTCGTGGGAAGTGTCGGCTTTCATGGGGGTGGGGTCGCTCCAGGACCGGCTGAAGCTGCGCTCGCGCCGCTCGGCGAACGCTGCGGGAGAGCGAACCCCATCAGCGGGGCGGCGGGGCGGCGGGGCGGCGGGGCGGCGGGGCGGGGCCGGAGGGGGCCCGTGCGGGGTGGGCCTGGGGTAGGATTGGAAGTTCTGGGCTGGGGAACTGGAGGAGGCCATGGCGGGAAGGAGGGGTGAGGGCGGGTGGGGGCCTATGGGCGGAGCCTGGGAGTGCTGGGGGCTAGGGATGGAGACGGGGGTGTCTGGGGGGGCGTGGGAGGCCCCGCACAGCGAGCAGCATCGCAGCCCAGCCAAGAGCAGGCGCCCCTCCCCGCCCGCCCGCCCACCCCCTTACTCTGGGCCTTCACCCTCCGGCTGCCGACCATGCGCAGGTGCTTCCGGAAGTTCCTGGGGGAAGAGGGGCAGCGGCTGCTGAGGCTGCGATGGGTGAGCGGGGCCCTGCCCTCCCTCCCTGACCCCGCGCTGGGCCTCTGTCCCTCTGTCCGGGAGAGACGCCTCCCGGCGCCTGGACCCTCCTACCGGTCCCTCCCCAGTCCAATCCCTCTCCCGTGAGGCCCTCCCAGCGCCCCCTTGGCTGCCGGGACCCCTCCTTCCCTTAGTGCAGAACCACCTCCACGGACACCCTTCTCCCCTCTCCCCTCCCCGGCCGGCGGGCCTCCTGCCCCAGGTGAAGTCACGGCTCCTGCTCTGCACCACCCACAGGTGGTTTGGGCCTCGGCCATGGCCGCCCGCTCTACTCCCCCCCCCCCCCCCGCCCCGCTCAGGGGCAGGTCTCCTTTGCCACACCCTTGTGCCCTGACAAGGCCGACTTCCTGGCCATCTGACCATCTGAGGTGAGAGCTGGGAGGGCCAGCCTCGATACTGACCCCACAGCTCTGGCTCCACTGTGCCCCCAACGAGAGCCTGGGGCCCAGGCCCCGTGCCCTCGCCTGCCTACTGCGTCCCCAGAGCAGGGCCAGGCCAGTGGTCGCCACCGCCCTTCCCCCATCCGGTCTGCGGGGGCCTCGGGGGCCCAGGCCAGACCAGCACACACATGAGACGGACCCCGGTGGCGAGTGGCTGGCAGGCCCTACCTCTGGATTACGGACGCGGAATGATTCTCCCGTTTCCGGCGCTTCCTCTCCGCGTAGCCCCTGAACACCCTGGGAAACCGGGGAGTCAGCGCGGGCAGAGGGACAGACGTGGGGCAGAGGCGAGAGCTCGGGGACCGTGGGCCAGGCGGGGCACCGGGCCTGCAGAGGGGCCTGCGCCTCGCCCTGGCCGGGCCCCTGGCGGGGCCTGCCCGAGCTTACTGGGGTGAGGGGCTCCGGGGGACACGCCTGCCCAGGCTGCAGGCCCCACGGGGTACTTACGAGATGCTGGCGGCGCGGCCGGAGGGCAGCGTGGGAGAGAAGACACCGTGAGCCTGGACCCCACTCCCAGGAGCGCCCTGCGGCCAGTCCCTCCCCGGGCTGTGGCCTGCCAGCCCCGGGCCTAGGGGTGTGGTGGGGTGTGTGGGGAGGGGCGGCTCCAGTGCGGCGCACAGGACGGCCGGGGCCTGGGAAGAGCCGGGACAGAGGGCAGACCCCGGGGCCTACGCTGTCCCCCGGGACACACGGACCACCGTGAGCAGGCTGCTGTCGGGCGCGGTGAGGCAGAGCTCGTGGGCAGAGCTGGGTGACGTGGGCCCCGGGGATCCGCCCCCACTGGTGACTGTCCCAGCCGTGGACGGGCAGGAGGCGCCGTGAAGAGAGGGGAGGCCTGGGGGCCGCGGGGCTGAGAGCAGCTGGCCCGCCTGCCTTCAGAGTGACGCCACGCGTGGGCACGGGGCTGCTGAGGACCAGGGCCAGGGGCCGGGCGCACGGCGGGCGGGGACAGGACTCACGCTTGCATAGTTGTGGTTGCGGTCTGGAAGCTGAAGAGGTTTTCCTTGGGGAACCAGGTGCGGATGGGGGTGGGGGCGTCATCTGGAAGAGACAGAGTGGTGGTGACCAGGGGCGGGGGCTTGCAGGGGAGTGGGGGGGCTGCAGGGGAATGGAGGGGCTGCAGGGGGCGGGCAGGGAGCCTGCAGGGGAGTGGAGGGACTGCAGGGGAGTCCAGGAGCCTGCAGGGGAGCGGGGAGTCTGCAGGGGGGCAGGGGGCCTGCAGGGGAGCATGTGCTTCGGCCACAGCCGGTGGGGGGGGCAGGCACAGGCTCAGCCACGTGCACCCACCACTGCGGGCTCGTGATGTGTGCTGTCCTCGCTCAGCTCTTTGGCTGCACAGTGGGGAGCGTTCTTGGGAAAGCACAGCCTGTCCCCAGGGAGACGGACAGGATCCCGTCTCCGCGAGGAGGAGGCGGGCCAGGGAAAGGGCGCAGCCCCCCGGACCCTCTGCACCAGGATCCTGGTGGGAGCGGCCAGACCCCCCCCTCCCCGCTCCCGGAGGGCGAGGTGGAGACCCCCGAGTGTGTGTCCACCTGCAGCTCCTAGACCAGGCGGGAGGCTGCAGCCGCTCTGCCCAGCTCCTAGACCAGGCGGGAGGCTGCAGCCGCTCTGCCGCCCACCCTGTCCCTCAGGAGCCTGAGGTGGTGGAGGGGGCCTGCCCACGCCCAGGGCTGTGCCCAATGCCCAGGAGGTGCCTCGGGGGACATGGCGGCTCAGCTAGGGAGAGCTCTGCCCTCAGGAGGCGCCCTCTGAGCAGGAGGCAGGGCTGCCTGAGGCCCAGGGGGGTCCTTTCAAGGCATGGCGGCCTCGGGGGTGCCCACCACTCGCAGAGCCACCAGCCTGGGGGGAGGCCCAGCTGGCCAGGCCCACACAGCCGTGTGTGTCCTGAGAGGAAGCCCTGCATGGGGGCCGGGCCGGGGCAGGCCACCGTCCAACCTCGCCATGTTTTCCCCTTTCCCTCCAAGCTCCTCCTCCGGGAAGCACTCTTTGACTCTGGCAGGGTCACGGCCAACCACGGGCCACGGAACAGGGGGCAGGACTAGCTGCAGCTGTGACCTGGGCACCCTCCACCTGGCCAAGCATCCCAGCGGCTCTGCTAGCAGACCTGGCACCAACACTCCGCCCAAGCTCGCCCACGCCCACGCCAAGCCCCTCACCAGACACGCGGTCGACACTGTACATCCTCTCCAGCTTCTTGCGGCGGCCGGTGGCCTGGGGCCGGGGCGGCTGGTCCAGCCCGAAGGCCCGAGGGGAGGGGCCCGGGGCCAGCGGGGCGCACTCCGGACAGTCCTGGGAGCCCTGGCGGCTGCCCGCCCAGCTCGGGCAGGCTGTGCCCACGTTCTCGCGGCTGCCGCGCAGGGACTGGCTGTGGGGGGGCGGGTGCTGCTCCCGGCGCCGCCGCCCCTTCACCACGGCCAGCTCAATGGCCTCAGCCTCGGGGCCGGGCAGCAGGGCGGGCTCCCCCGAGATGGTGTACACACGGGGCTGGGGGCCCTCGCCCGCCGGCTTCCCAATGGCCCCCTCCTCCGAGAGGCTGCCCTTGGAGACGAGCGAGAGGCGGCGCTTGATCTGGGGGGCCGGCTGCATCTCGGGGGACCCTTCGTGGCCAGAGTAGGCATCGGCCAGCAGGTGGTCTGGGGGAGAGATGGCAGGTGAGCTCCAGGCCGGGCCTCCCTCCCCGTTGTCTCCGGGCGCTCGGAGGCCGGGACGTGGGCCTGGGACTGCCCAGCCTCACCGACCACCCTGGTCCCTGCCCTCCTAGGAGGGGGCTCCGAGGGCTCCTCCAGCGGCTGCCCTCCCTCCAGCGGAGCCCAAGCGCTGTGCGTGTGGGCGACAGGGTGTGCTACCTGCCGGGCGACGGGGGGCAAGAAGCAGCAGCCCCTCCTAGCCTGGCACCGCTCACGGTGCCCAGTGCCAACTCCTCCCCTCCCCCGGCCAGCTGGCCCCCAGAGACAGCGGTGCCAACCCTGGGGGTGCCAGGAGGCCGGTTGCCATGCCAACGGCCCAGGCTGGGTGGGTGCCATGGTGATGAGCTCTTCCTGGGGCCCTGGGCAGGGAGGGCAGGGGCAGGAGGGAGCCAGCCCCGCGGGGCAGCTGCTGCCACTCAGCTCACCCCACCAGCCCCCGGGCGGCCGCTGGAACAGGGCCAGTGGCCCCGGGGCCAGGGCTGTGCGGACCCCCGCCCCGCCTCCCGCGCCCTACCTGCTCCGTTCCGGCTCTCAGGGTGACTCTGGGACAGGTACTCGCCGAAAGCCCGGGCGGCTCTGGGGGTGGACAGCGCGGCGCGTCAGGCACTCGCCCGGCCTCTCCCGGGGCGGGCGCTGGGTCCCCGCCCCCTGCAGCCGGGTCACCCGCGGGCACTCCTCCCCCAGAGCCCGGCCGGCAGGTCAGGTCGCAGCTCCGGACCCGGGGCCAGGGCAGCGGGGCGGGACCTGCAGCCGGGCGGTCGGCCCTCCGCCGGGGACCTGCCCCGCGCGTGGTGGGGAGGCCGGGGGCGCCCGGGGAGCCCGCGGGGCGGCGGGCACTCACCGCACTTTGGCCGCCACGGAGGACATGGCCTCGCTCCGCAGCGCCCTCCTCCGGGAGGCGGCGGCGCCCATGGTCGAGGCGCCGGCGCATCCCCGGGCTCAGAGCGCGCCCCGCGCCCGCCGCCGCCACCGGGGGAGCCGGGCCGCACGGGGGCTCGGGCCGGGGGCTCGCATGGTCCCGGGCCCTCCGCGTCCCGCACCGGGAGCCGGAGCCGAGCCCGACCGGAGCGCGGCCAGGCCCGGGGGCGATGCTCCGCCCGCCGTGACGTCAGGGGCGGGGCGGGGCGGGGCGGGCGGTCCTGCACCCTGGCCGCCCTCCTGACGTCAGGACTGGGTGGCAGCTCCGCCAACAGTGTCCTTCCGTCCATCCGCACCAGGGCAGGCACCTGCCTGAAGGCCCTGGGCTCCGGTCAGTGGTCCCTCCCTGCCTCCCCCGCAGGCCGGGCGCTGCTCCATGGCCCGGAGAAGTGGGGGCTCCCGCGCCTTAGGTGCCTCGTCGCACCAGTGGGAGCAATGCCCGAGGGTGGGGGAGGCTGGTCTGCTCTGGGGACCCTAGATCCTGGCACGCGCCCACTTGGCCTGTAATTGCTGCCAGGGTTTCAGATCCCAGCAGAGGGTGTCCTCCGGGGAGAGAGGCGGGGTCCACCAGGCCCCCCTGTGCCCAGTGGCTGCAGGCAGTCTTGGCATGGCTCTGCCACAAGGACGGGCTAAGGACAACACGCCCACACCATCAGATCTACTTTTATTGGCCCGATGGGCAGAAGCATCAGGGCTCAGAGGCTCCAGCACCACTCAGAGCCAGGTGTGTGTGTGTGTGTGTGTGTGTGCACCCAGAGGGCTGCTGTGGGTGCCGGAGGGCCAGGACCAGCGCCCCAGGGGCGCCCAGTGTAGAGGCCTGACACCCAGCACGGCCCGGGCGTGGCCAGGTCTGCCTGGGAGCCACGGTCTCCAGGACAGGCCACAAGGTACTGGCTTCAGGGGGCGTCCGGGGAGGCCTCTACCCGTCCTGGCCAGAGAACCGGGGCGGTGTGGGGGCGGCCACGCCGGGGTGCTGCACCGAGGGCTGGTCCTCCTGGAAGCAGACCACACGGTCGGGGTGGGGACAGGGGAGGCCCACCCTGAGGGCGTCCCTGCCCCGGCCTCGGTGCAGGGGGGGCGCGGGGGCCAGGCGGTCCGGGCAGCTCACCCAGTCGGAGCCCCCGTCAGCCGGGGAGCTCTGGAAGTCCGCGTAGGCCTCTTGGGGGCCCTCCGGCAAGCCCTCCTCGCACTCGGTCAGGTAGTCAGACTCGTCTGGGCACAGGGGTCCACGTTGGTTCCCCGGGGGCAGGGCCGTGCTGCCATGGCATGGGCCCTGCCCACAGCCCACCAGGCCCAGGGTCCCTTGTTGCTGGGCAAGGGTGTGGCAGGGACGCGCCCCAGCACCCTGGCTGTGGGCACACGTCCTGGCGTCCGACTCACCATCCACCACGGCCACCTTGGCGGGCTCGATGCGGGACACGATCTCGGCGAGGTCCGTGAAGGAGGCGTTGGGGCAGGTGAGGACCTGGGGAGGCGGCCACACCTGGGCACAGGCACTGCGCCCAGCCAGGCCCGAAGCCCACCCCTGGGCCCTGTTTCCCCCCCCACCCCCGGGGGCCTGGCTTCTGAGGATCCCCAGCCCCTGGAGTGGGGGGGGGACGTGAGAGATGGGCAGAGTCCTGTGCAGACCCCCACCCAGACCCCCACCCTCTCGAAAGGGGTGGGGAGGGATGGGGCAAGGGGCAGGGCACAGAGAGGCGAGGAGACAGCCCCAGGCCTGCTGCCTTCGACTCCTCTGGCCACGGCACGCGGCAGCTGAGGGTGCTCTGGTGCTGCTGGCTGCAATCTCAGATTCGGGGGTCGGGGCTGGGGGGTGGGGGGACAGGTTGCAGAAGAGGGACGGCAGAGGGCGCCGCTGGGCACTCACATCAAAGGCCTTCATCTTGCTTGTGCCCTGCCGGTCCTGCAGCATCTTCTCCAGCACCCCACTGCGCCTCCAGATGTCAAACACCGTCCGGCCGTGCTGGTACCCCACCTCCTGCACACAGGGGCCGGCCTGGGTGTGGGACCACCTCCTGCTCTCAGAAGGGCAGGGGCTGGGGAGGAAGCAGCCAGTGCTGCGGGGTGTGTGCGGGGTGTGTGTGTGTGTGTGTGGTCAGGGCACAGGCCAGGTGGTGGATCCCATAGAGGGCTTGCAGGAGGCAGCCGATCAGTGACTGTCTCTCCTCATTGATGTTTCTCTCTCTCTCCCTCCCTTCCTCTCTGAAATCAATAAAAGCGTTTCTTTAAAAAGCCAGACACAAGCCCAGCGGGCCCAGGGCCCCGCTCCCGCCCTCCGCACTCACGCAGATCTCGGCGAACTTGCCGAAGTCCAAGGTGCTGTAGCTGTCAATGGGCGGGCGCAGGTACTCGCAGTAGTCGCTGTTGCGCACCTCCTCCAGCTGCCGCACGCAGCACACGTAGGCCAGGCGCGTCTGGATCTCTGCCATGTTCAGCACCTACCATCACCAAGGCCTCACTGTCCCCTGGGCCCTGCCCTCCAGCCCCAGGGCAGCAGCTCTGCTTGGCCGTCCTCTCCCAGCGCTGGCTGCCTGGCGGGGAAGGCACTGGGACCCAGGAGGCAGGGGACGGCCTGCCCGCCCAGGGCTGCGCCCACCTTCACTTTGGTGGCCAAGGGGTTCCAGCGCTTCCACAGCAGCCACCACCCCGACAGCGCATCGCCGTAGTTGGTGAGGTCCGTCTCGTCCCGGCTGCCCACGTCGATGGCAATCACCACCTTTGCCCCCATTGACCTGGCCACGTCCGCTGGGACGAGGAGACACGGTCGCTCTGGGTGGTCACCCCGGGACAGGAGCCGGAGCCCAGGCCGGGCAGAGCCTGCCCAGCCCTCCCGAGGACCGTGGAGCACACAGACTGCCCAACGGGGGCAGGTGCGCCGAGGGCGGGCCCCCCCAGCCCCTGCGGCTCAGCTCCTACGGTGGGCACAGCGGGAGCTAAGGGCCCCCGCCTCTCCCTGGCCCGTTCTGGGAGCTGCTGAGCTGACAAACGGAGCCATATGCTGGGCTGCGGGGCGTGTGCGTGTGTGCGGTGCGTGTTCCCTGCTCGCAGCCAGACTGAGCGCCTGGCCCCGGTGGGAGGAAGTGTGCAGCGGCCGAGCGGAGGCGCCGGGAGGCCGTACCTGGGAGGTTGTTGATGTAGCCCCCGTCCATCAGCAGGTGGCCGTCCTTGGGGTCGCAGAGCGGGGGCATGTAGCCCGACAGGGACATGCTGGCGCGCACGTATCTCCACAGGGAGCCTGGAGGGGCCGGGGGCGGAGGTCCGGCCATGCCCAGGAGGCAGCTCTCCGGACCCTCATCCCTGCCGCACCCTTGCCGCTGCCTACGAGGGGCCCTGCGCAGGCTGGGCCCGCCTCCTGGACATCCCACCTGAGGCCCAGAGCCGCGCTCCGCGTGTCCCGCCTTCCTGGTGCAGCCCCTCCCGCCCCCAGAGACGCTGGAGCAGCTCCAAACGTGCCGCCTTCAGGCCGGCTCCTCCTGCGCCTCCCACTCGGGCTCCTGGTCCCTCCCTGCCGCCCTGCCGTGTGCGGGCCATCTCTGTGGGAGCCGTGGGGGCCGGCGCTCACCGTCTGTGTGCACCCGCATGGCCGAGGCCGAGATGTCCGTGGTGATGGTGAAATAGGGGATCCACAGGTCCTGTGGGGAGGGGGAGGGGAACAAGTGGGGTGCGGGAGGGGGAGGAGGGGTGGGGGAGGTTGAGGAAGGGTGGGGGAGGTTGAGGAAGGGTGGGGGAGGGTGAGGAGGGGTGGGAAGGATGAGGAGGGTGGGGTGAGGCGAGAGGAGGGTGCAGCACCTCGATCTGCCGGTCCTTGAAGACTCTGCAGATGCTGCTGTTGAAGCCGGCCCCCGAGAACATGGAGGTGATGGGGTAGGTCAGGTCCAGCATCGTCTTCATCATTGAGGACATGTCCTGGGGGGCAGTGAGGCTGGTGGGAAGGACCACCCCCTGGGAGCACCCTCTGTCTGGCTGTGCTCCCAGACAGAGCGGAGCTGCCGGGGGCACCTTGGGGTGCGTCTCAGGGAGCGGGCGCTGTGCCTGAGCGGCTCGCAGGGAGGTGCTGTGGGGACTCCGCTGACCTCCCTGGTGTCTCCCCTGGAAACTGATGAATGCACCCCCACCTCCACCCAAACCTCACACCAGGCAGCACCGGCCGCTCAGCCACGGCCAGGCCCAGGGCCCAGCCCCGGGCAGCTCGGAGGAGCTGGCCTTCAGCTGCCATCCTGTCCGTCCCCCAGAACCCCAAAGCGCTGGCTGGGCTCCCGGGGCCCGCCTCGTGTTCAGCGGAACTGTGGGTACAGTGAACCTCGGTAAACGGAGACCAGGAACCAGCACAGCCAGCCCCTCCGGGGTGTGCCGCACCCTGTGCCCCCTGCCTCCGGCGGCCGCGGGGACCAGCTGGCTCCAGGGGCCCACCTCCGTCCACTGCTTGGCCCGGATGCGAATCTGGCTGTAGCTCCGCTCCTCGGCGTACAGGGCGCCCATGAAGGCCCCGATGGACGTGCCCCCGACCATGTCCACGGGGATGCCGCACTCCGCCAGCGCCCGGATGACGCCTACCTGGGCGCAGCCTCTGCCACGGGAGCAGGGACAGGAGTGAGTGCCGGCGCCGCCGTGCCACCACTGCCCTCCACGCCCGGCTCGCTCCGAGGAGACGGGCACCATTAGGCGCTCCTGCACGTTCTGGAATCTGGAGGGACCGCGGTCAGCCCGTGCGCCCGGCCGGCCGTGTGCAGGACGGGGTCTCACCGTGCCCCGCCTCCGCCCAGCACCAGCGCGATGGCGTTGCCCGTCAGCACCCGGGCCAGGCGGGAGAAGTCCGAGTGCCGGTCCGGGGGCCGCTGGAAGAGCCGCTCGTACATCTCCACCTGCAGAGGCGGAGGGCGCTCCCACCTCGGCTCTGTCTGTTGTCCGTCACCACCCTGTCCACACCTCACTGACCCCGCCAGCCCGCGGCCAGGTGCTTGGGCAGGGACTCGGGGGCGTGGACGCAGCTGTCCGACATGTCCCTGAGCGGGGCCAGCAGGCTGGGACGCCCGGCGGGCTCCGTGCTCCCCCGGCCCCCGCCAAGGCCCCCCGGGAAGAGGGCTCGGGGTCTGCACGGCCTCTGCCTGAGGCAGGAGGCTATGCCGACCGAGGCCACCAAGACCCCCAGGAGCCTCAGCTCACGCCGGACCCTCACCAGCCGGGGCAGGCTGCGCCTGGAGAAGACGCGGCGCGGGCAGCACAGGTGCAGGTGGCCGGAGCACCAGCCGCGCATGTTGAGCCACTCGACGGTGCGGGCGGGCGCCGGGCCGTCCTCCCGGTGCAG